CCTTTTATATCTGGTTTCTTTCACTTAACATGTTTTCAAGGTTTGTTCCCATTGTAGCATGTGTCATTACTTCATTCCTTTTTTAAGTCAATTCATATTCTGTGAATCTACCACATTTTTACAATTCATCAATTGGGCATTTGTACTTCACTTTCTGGCTTTTATAAGTAGTGATGCTATGAACATTTGTACACAGGTTTTTGTATGAACATATTTTCAGTTCTTTTGGGTGTATAACTAGGAGTGGAATTGTTGGCTCATATATTAATGTTTGACTTTTTTTTTTTTTAATGTTTGACTTTTTGAGGCACTGTCAAACTGTTTCCAAAAGCAGCTGCACTATTTTACATTCCCACCAGCATATGTGAAGCTTCCAGTTTCTTCATATGTTCTGCAAAGTTTCCTTTTTCTAGTAGCAGTTATCACTGCTTGACGTGCTGTATTCATTTATTACAGTCTGGTTCTTACACCAGACATCCAGCTCTGAGAATCAGGGCTTCTGTCTTGTTTGCTGCTGTAGCCCCAGCACCACATAGTGCTTGGCACAGAGTAAAGCACCCAAAAATATCTGCTTAATCCATGAGAATAGTTCAGTAACCTTTTTTTCATTTAACCACTTCCTTTGATCTTTATGTTAACCTTTAGTTACCCAAGTAATAAGTGGACACATTTTTTTCCTGTAAAAATTTTAAAACTTTAAGACAAAGCTAAACCCCTTTTGAACAGTCCTGGTCCTGTTGCCCCTCTGCAGTGTATCCTTCCAGACCTTTGACTGTATATATAACAAAGTTGCAAAGGAGGAAAGTACATAGTTTGGGTTCTTTTTTTTTTTTTTTTCCCATAAATAATATGCTATAGGAACATTTTACAGCCTATTTACTCAACACTGCCTTGGAGATCTTTCCATGCCAATATATATACCTCTGCTTTTTCCAACTGCTACCACAGTGTTTTGTGAAATGTACTACCAGTTTGTTAAGCTATTGCTCTGTTTTTAAAGTCACAAATATTCATGGAGTAACTAATTTTTGGAAAGCAGTAAGGTTTTTAAAGCTTGTATCATGATATTAGATCATCTGATAATACGATATCAGAGCATCCAAAGTAGCCACAAAGCAGGGGATTAATATTATGGACGTAGCAAATTTCATTCATTTTTATACTTCAAAGAATAAAATCAGTTCCTCAGAAACATAAAAAACAAAATTTATTTTAATGTCATAGTGGTTAGGTCTCAAGCTTAGTTACAAGTAGGGTTTTTTTAATTCCCTCTCCCAAACTCCCAAAAGTTTGGAACTTTTTAGATATTTAAGGATTTTATACCACAGTAATCTTCCTGCCACTCTGAAGGATTCACTGAAGAGGCATCTCTATTACAATTACCGTAACATTTAATGAACCTGCCATTCAGCATTAGCGTTTACATAGTATTCTATGCGGTCCTGGAACAGAAGCCGCTCAAGGGAAGGAGGCTGGGTCTTAGCCTTTTAAAAGAAACAGTTAAGATTATCTAACAAGTATAATACCTTCTGTGTTTATGCTTCCCCATTTTCAGCATTTTCTTTCTCTTTCCCAAGTCTGTTAGTTTATCTTGATAAACTTGATATCTCGAGCTAGTGTTCAACAGCCCATATTTGTGCATAACTTTTTATTTAAAGTCCTGGTCACAAAGTTTAGGTTCAAACATTCTGGAATTCCCATTTTTTATTTTTGGGTTTGTGTCTAGTGATCAGTGCTTTTATTTACTTATTTATTTTAAAGATTTTATTTATTTATTTGACAGACAGAGATCACAAGTAGGCAGAGAGGCAGGCAGAGAGAGAGAGGTGGAAGCAGGCTCCCCGCCGAGCAGAGAGCCCGATGCGGGGCTCGATCCCAGGACCCTGGGATCATGACCTGAGCTGAAGGCGGAGGCTTTAACCCACTGAACCACCCAGGCGCCCCAGATCAGTGCTTTTATAATGCGTTTGAGGGACGAGGTGCCGGGGTCACCACTTATACTTTGTTTTAGGATTTTTACTTCTTTCTACAAAACCTGTACTTTTAGATTATCTTAAGTAGACATTGTGTACGTTTGTGTAAAATAATTTCTAGAAAAACAAAACAAAATCTTTGTTTTGTACTACTTGATCTCCAGTAGATGGCACCAAATACCCTTGAAAATTCATGATACTAATTCCTAGGCGGTGGTACTGGCTAATTGATCATTTCTTCCACCACCACTACCACGGGATAAAAAAAGTCCATCTTTCATCTAATTCTGTGATTGTTATATGACTTAGTATTTTGTCCATGGTTTAAAATAAACCTGTTAGTGGGCACCTGGCTGGCTCAGTTGGAAGAGCATGCAACTCTTGATCTCAAGGTTGTAAATTCAAGTCCCATGTTGGGTGCAGATATTACTTAAGAATAAAATCTTCAAAAAAAAAAAAAAGATAAACCCATTGATATTTAAAGTATTAATTTTCTATTTCTGACAACCTTTTCTTCCCTTTTTATGTAGTGGTTTTCAATCACATTGATTCAAAGGGAAGGATCATGGTACTGAAAGAAGACTGGGCTAAAAAAAAGTTGAGGATAAGAGACAAAGAATAAAGAAATATGCTGAATATTCATGATAAAGTCACAGAAAATATATAAGTATATAAAATCCAAATTTAAGATAATGAAGTGTTTTTACTATTATCAGTTTTAGTACTTTAGTAGGATTGTACTCATTTCATTATGACTTTCAAATTTGTATTACAAATAACTTGCAATTTTAAAATGCTTATTAAATGGGGCACCTGGGTGGCTCAGTTGGTTAAGCATCTGCCTTTGGCTTAGGTCATGACTTAGGGTCCTGGGATCAAGTCCCACATCTGGCTCCTTGCTCAGCGGGGATGTGCTTCTCCCTGACCCTCTCCCCACCCTCTTCCCACCGCTCAAGTATTCTCTCTCACACCCTCTCAAATAAATGAAATCTTGAAAAAAAAAAAAAAATACTTGTTAAAAATGTTATATCCCCATTCTCATTTCTCTTTGTGCTTTCTTTAATACATTTATCTTCAGTGTATTAGCAGTCATAAAAAATAAGCTTTTAGATTCAATTAACCATTAAAAGCAGAAAATGTTTCCTATAGGTCAGGCATGCTTTACTACATTTATTCTACTTGTTAATTCTGTTGACTTTAATTTTAATGGATTTGTCAACCATGAAAAAGGACACGTTTAAAAAAAATTCCCATGATTACATGTTTTTCTTCCTCTCTCCCCAGTGTTTGAGTGTCAGTGTTTGTGACTTAGGAAATCTCTTTCTTAACTCTTGTGTAAGGCATTGGTAGCATGGGCTCTAGGCGAAACAGATCTAATCTAGGCTCAGTCTCCATCTCTGGCTAAATGGATGACAACGGAAGTCATTTAGCTTCTCTGGGTCTCAGTTTCCTCGTCTTCAAAATGTAATTATTAACCTATCTAATGGGGTCATAATGAGGATTAGTGATAATGCAGGTGACATATAGCAAGCTATTATTTTCATGTATTGCCAACAGTAAGCTTTTTTTTAAAGCTTTATGAAATATGTTCAAGCTTACGAAGACATTTATTCCTCCTTTTTAAAATGGAGATGCCAGTGTATTAACAATGTAACTTGGGTTATAAATCTTGATAGGTTTAGGGAATAATCCTTAAATTTTTAGTTCTATATATTTCTACTGGTACCACCCCACACACACCATTTATAGACTTGAACAGAGGAAGTTTTGTTGTTGTTGTTGTTGTTGTTGTTGTTTTGTTTTTTAATGTTTTCATCTAGAATTAAAAGGGAAGGAAAGACCCTGAACGAGATTTGGGTCAAAAAATCTCGGGATCCAACGCCGGGGATTCTGTAGATGCAGTAAGTTTTTGAGGGAGTGATTATGCCTGCACTTGGGGTAGGGGTCGGAGTGCCAACAGAGAACGGGCAGGGCTGTGAACTGCTGCCCGATTCCGCCGCTTTCTAAGGAAAAAAAGCGCTGGGCGGCGAGCATTCAACGCAAGGCAAGCTTTTTCCAAGCCCCACAGCCAGGTGGCGCCGGCGGAAGCCCCGGGCCCACCAGGTTGCCGGCGCTGCTCTCGCCTTCAGTGGGATACGCGGCGGGACCCACAGCCGCCAGGGAGCTGGGAAGCCTGGAACCTCTGGGACTGTGGCCGCCGGACCAAGGGCTCCAGCCAGGAATCCGAGCAGGACAAAGCCCAGGCGACGCGCGGTGCCAGCCTTCCACTCGAGGGATAACCGGCAGGCTCTCGGAACTTTTCCCCGGGGACAGGTCCGGGCAACAGGTCCGAGGCGGGGCCGGGATGGGCCCCTGCTCCGCGGCGGCCGGTGAATCAGCGCCGGCGCCCAGGTCAGCCCTCCCAGCCAATGGCAGATCAGGGGAGGAGTAGCGGCGCCGCTGATCACCAGCCACTCAGGGTTCGCTGGGTCCGGAGGAAGGTGACGTCATCGTAGCTGGGAGGTTTCAGCCGGCTCCACCAATGGGAGATAGGCAAAGTGGCTCGCTCTCTGTAGCTCTGGGCCAATACTAACAAAGCAAAAGGGGGTTGTCGGTATAGAACCAATGGAAAACAGGGAAGGAGCACGAGGCGGAGTTGCGAATCCTGTCACCAATTGGAAAGGGGGGGTGGAGCCCGGGCCTTGTCAAGCGTGACCAACCAGAGAGAGGAGCGGACTCTAGGGGGCGGGGCCGTAATGCTTTTCCCCAATCGGACAAGGCCAGGGGCGGGGCATTCTTTAGGGTGCCCAATGAGGAACGCAGCCGAAGCGGGCCTGTCAAGAGAAGGGCCTGGGGGCGGGGGGATGGTGAGTCGGAGATAAACACTCCGCGGCGGTGGCGGCTGCTGCTCTTCTTCGGGTTCTGTCACGGTGTCGGCGGTGCCCAGCTCACCGGACCCCCTTCCCCGCTTCCGGCGAGCGTGGTCGCCAGAGAGGCTCTCTCAACCCTGCTCTGCGGGGTCCACAGCAGGGCGCGGGTGTCCGGCGGCGAGCCCGTGGGCAGTGGGGGTTGGTCCCGTGGCTCCGGCCCCCGGTGCAGAATGGCGGCGGCGGTTCGGATGAACATCCAGATGCTGCTGGAGGCGGCTGACTACCTGGAGCGGCGGGAGAGAGGTGCACGGGGACGGGAGGGGTCCGTCCCGAGCCGGGGCCGGGGGCTCTGAGGGGCCTGGCCGCGGGGTAAGGGCGCCCAGCCGCTCTGGGGGTGGTTGGAGGCGCAGAGACCGCGACCGCGAGCGCTCCCAACCCCTCCAGCTCTCCCCACGCGCGGTCGGAAGGGAGGCCGCTGCTGCCCCAAAGGCAATGAATGAGGGGGGAAAGGGGCCGCTGCCTCCGGAGTCCCGAGCACTGACCCCCACCGCAAAGCAAATGGGGTGCCTGGAGTCCTCTCGGCCAGACCCTTGGTTTACCCCACCGGGGCTCGTCCGGACCGGCCCCCAAGTGGGCCCGGCGCCTCGTCTCCCAGCCGGAGGAGCAGCGATTCCCCTGCGCGCCCCCTTCCCCGTCCTCTGGGTTCCGGGTGTTTGCCCCGCACCTTCGCCCGAGGCTGGTCCCACTTAAAGCACGCCAACCTGCTGGACGTTGCCAGTGGGGAACCCAAGCTCCGTGAGCTCAGCTACTTGCTGTGTCTTTCTCAACAATGAGCAGCTGGAATGCTTCTTACACCTGCTCCGAACTGAGGGTATTCACACAATTAAAAAAAAAAAAAATCATTGTTCTAAGAATTCCACCTTGCATCGTTTGTTTCAACACAATATTCTTTTAATGAAAAATAAAATTTAAAAAGGAAATACTGTAGAGGGGAGAGAGTATTGAATGTTCTAGGCTCATTCATTAACTGGATCCTTCGGTTTTCTAGAAGCTGAACATGGTTATGCCTCCATGTTACCATACAATAACAAGGACAGAGATGCCTTAAAACGGAGGAACAAATCCAAGAAGAATAACAGCAGTAGCAGGTAATTTGGTAAATATTTCTCTTTCTCTTTTAGATTATACTGCAGATGATATAAACTGCAGAATGGAAGTTGCCTGTTGTGATTCTAACCCAGTAAATACATTAAGTAGCAATCATGATTCAGTCAGGCACACATGGTCTTAAGCCATTGGAAGAAGGAGCCCTTCTGTTTGAGTTGAGGGGACAGAAGAGAGAAGTGGACGTGTTTTATATTTCTTTATGAACTTTTTAACCTTATTTTGCTTTTCCCTTTTGGAACAAAAATCTATGGAAACTTCCAGTGAGATTAGGAACAATGACAATATGTTGCCTTCAGAAATTTCAGATTAAAGGCAGGTTTTTTTATAATTGAAAATGCTGGACATTATCCATTTCTTTTACTTTTCATCGTGAAGATTTTATAAACATGCTGAAGTATCCAATTTAGGTGGTAAGATTTCATATTTGACATGTAAATGAAATGCAGTGGTTTGTCTCATAAACTGTTAAATCTGTTTATAATGGCAAAGAGGAATGATGGAGGTTAAGACCTGCCTTTTTGGTGATGGAGGATTAATATTAAAATATTAATATGCCACAACCCTTTTATGTTAGCCTTCTGGTTCTTAAAATCTGTGAATTTCACTGGGAAGTATGTGGTTAATGGTCAGAGAAATCACATTAAAACCCTGAGTATAGTTCCTGCTACCTATGATGTACTCTATTAATGTTACTTTCCCCCTTTTCCCTTCTTTGCCCTTAAAATATAAGTTAGCTAGGAAATCTGTTCGGTCTATTTACTTATACCTTTCATTCCAATAGTCATTCACATTTTCATCACTGACTTAGAATCCTTATTCCTGGCTGCAAGTAACTGTATTTGGTTAGCCTCTGTGGCATAATACAGACCACTAAAAGCCAGAAGGTCCCACTTAAACCTAAAACTCACTTGCTCTTGCTGCTGCTTCTGTCCTTGATTCAACCCATTGTACTTAGTGTTGGTAGAACCACAGGATGTGAGCCGCACACATGTGCTGAGCTCTTGAATAAGAAGGCACCTGAGGGATGAACCTGGTAATTAACAACCTCGTGGCTTTTCCTTTCCCTCCCATGTTTCACATTACCTGAAGGTGATAGCTAATAGATGTGTGTGTGGGTATTAAGGGCCTATAAGAAGAATGTTAATATTGACTTGCATTATGCAGTGGTATAAAACGATTTAGCTGTGTTGCATTTTGTTACAGTATTCTTTGAATTTTGTTTGGAAGAACTTTGAAGACTTTTTGTTTATTTTTCCTGAAAAGGCTACTGCGTTTGTTACTTTTATTCTTGTCCACTCATGATTTGGAAGGAATTGTCCACTCTGCTGGTCAAGGCTTAATCTTTAGCACTTAATTTTTCCCTAAGTTTCACAGGAAAGTTGGAAGAGGTTCAGTGGTGGGGAGAGGAAGAGAAAGGGATATTGAAAGAGAAGCAGGCTGGTCCTCAAAGGTGATTAGGAAAGAAAAATAATGATAGTTGAGAACTGCAAGCCAAGAAACAGACTCTTTCTCTTTACTATCCAGTGCTATTATGGAAAAAATAGCTATAACTACTGAGTTTTGGAAAAGCTGTCTTCTGTTAATGGGTTTGGTTTGCTTTCCATGGTTACAGAACGGCTATCACAATTTCCCATGTTCTTGACCATTAAAGAGTTAGTGTCATATCGTCAGTGGTGCAAGGATCTCTGAGAGAGACCTTAATTAAACCTGGAGACGGCACCAAGCAAACATGAAGCAAGAGTAGGTGGTTTTGTTTAAATGTGATCAGGTAAGGAATGACCCTTACCTGAGCAGTGAGACATCGCCCCAGAGAATGCAGTTTGACCCCTTTGATTTGAATTAGACTTCTCTCCAAGGCCATGTATGGTCAGGATTTTGCACTGAGGTAAGGGCGATGGCGAGATTACTGCTGGTTTACATAACCACCAGATAATAGTTTATTCTTGTTAATTCAGGTTGAAGTGCTGTGCTCTTCGGTTGTAGAGTCAGGGGACTACTTTTACTTGGACAATAAAAAAATAAGATTTAGCCACATATCCAACTTCTTGGGAACTAAAAATGCAGATTTTATCCAGTTTCTCTAGTTGCTTGTTTAAAAAAAACAAAAATGAAATTTGAATATTGATCGCTTCAGAATCATCCAGAGAACTACTGGAATACAGGGAGTGAAATCTTTTTTTCTTTCCTACTGATTTTTGAAATGAGTTAGTAGTTATTTAGAACTGAAATCCAGAGTTGTTTTTAAAGGTCTATTTTGTTAAACTGTAGAGCAGGCTTTGGCACTCATGAAAGGAGAAGTTCAGGACCTGCCTCCTAGCTCTTCTTTGCAACAGGGGTATATAGCTGAGCTGACATGGAGACTCTCTTTGAACCCAAGAACTTTCCCCATTCTCATACACTCTGTAGTTTGGCTTAGTTATCTTTTTGTGGGCATATATATACACATATATTCTTTTTTAAGTAGGCTCCACGCCCAGAGTGGAGCTCAGTGTGGGGCTTGAACTCATGACCCTGAGACCAAGACCTGAACTGAGATCAAGAGTCAGATGTTAACTGACTCAGCCACCCAGGTGCCCCTTGTAAGAATATATTTTAAATGGTGACATTACATGTAAGTCCCCTTGTAAAAATGATAATGTGTTCAGTACTTTTAAGATTTTATTTATTTATTTGAGAGAGAGAGCGCATGGAGGGGGGGTAGGTTCAGAGGGAGCAGCAGACTCCCCACTGAGCAGGGAGCCCGATGTGGGACTCCATCCTGTGACTCCAGGATCATGACCTGAGCCAAAGGCAGACACTCAACCGACTGAGGCACCTAGGTCCCTGTGTTCAAGACTCTTAAAGTAATCAGATAAGATCTGTAGTTTCCAAAACTGTTCAAAGTCTAGAAGGAGTTGTCCTCCCTACAGAATTTGTTAAAAAGTTTATCTTGGGGATTCAGAATTTTTCCTGTATGTAGCTTCAAAGAATCCAGAAATTTTTGGTAAGAGTGCCCTGCGTGCTATTCTCTGTAATCAGAGATGATACGCTTTCAAATACCCAGCCTTCTCTCCACCACCTTCCTGGGATGGTCCTTGCCTACAATTAGATAGGGAAATCCTGACCAACTGCTGTCATATACTTTCATGCATTTTAAAAAATCTGTCAGACTTTGAACTTGTTATTCCCTGTTAAAACTAAAATGCCACGTGCTTTAAAGCCAAAGGTTTGTAGTGCGGGCCCAACTTGTTAACTGTGATATCCTGCCAGCCATTGCAGGAAGTAAATCTTCAGAAAAATGTAACTGAAGAAGGCTGAAGGAAAACCAAGCGAATCAATGTAAAGCTTTTACAGTAACCAATTTTGAGGTCCTTTACCTAGAAAACAAATACTCTAAAACTTAAAATACTGTCATTGTTTTCTCAGTTTTCCTCATTAATAAAAATTGGTGTCCCAGGAGCCTTGTGGAAGAGAAGTTTTATTGCTGGATTGGAAATTTCTCATTCCGAGACTACAAACCCCTACACACACCCCACCAGCCTTTTCTGGTGTGAATGAACTTGGGTGTGATTGCCCCCCCCCCCGGGTATAAATGAGTGGTGGAGCATTCACAGAGGTCCTGTTTCTCTGTGATTACCATGAGAATTTCTCTGTAGGCCCAGAAGGTTCTGGCCTGAGCCAGGGCGCTGTCTCCTGGTTAGATTCCAGAGAATTTCCTTGAAAAAAAGTCAAGATTCAGCTCCTTTATAATGCTGGGAGGTTCCTCAAGTTTATAATTAGGGAGGAGTTGTGTGAGGAGGACACTATAGTGGCCATATTGACTGGCTTCCTGTGACTTCTGTGGAAACCTGTCTATAAATTCTTAGACCAGGCCTTATATTCAGGGTCAGCTATAAACACTTTAATAACAGGATTTCACATCGAACACAGCTTTCGTCCAAGGCTCTCTGATCACTTTTACAGTTGCTACCTCATTGATCTACGTGTGTTGAGTAGATAATTGACACTAATTTTTACTCCCATTTTACAGAGAGGTTAATCAAGGACAAAATGGTAAAGGATTTTGTTTCTTCTACAGTACCAGTCAGTGGCAAAGCTAGACTTCACATTTCACCCTCACTGTGGCTTTAAACCAATCCGTATCGCCTTTATGTGGAGCTCAGTTTTAGAAGCCCCTTCCCGAAATCCTCTGGGAGCTGTTCACCAGTAGCGTTTTTCAGGAGGGTGGACATGATCAGATAATTACGTCAGGGAGTAGAAAGATTGAGGGATGAGGGATAATTTTTATCCACTTAAAATTGTATCCTATTGTTAAGCAATTTAGCATAAAAATTTGGTGTATCTACTCACCTAGAAAAACTGCAGGATTCAGGGGGGGTGACATCACCACTCTTTTGCCCTCAGCCTGAAGAAAGCTTCTTCACTGTCTAGAACCTGAATTCGCATCACATGGCGCAGCTGTTTTTCTCTTTGTATAAATAGACCCCTTTTATTTCCTTTCTTAAAATGGATTACATTTCCACCAGGGATTGCATGCCTCTTAAGTTGGCCACTTGTCCTTGAACTCTATTTTACATATTTACGTTTATCTAACTCATCAAAGGAACTGATTTGTGTAGCAGAGCCCACTGAGTTTTCCTTCCCTTTCTGTTTTCTCTCCTACCAACTCTGGAGAGAAGTTAAAATAACTGTATTGGTGTTGAAGCAGTCCTTTAAGACCAGAAGAATCTCACTCTTTTCTTACTGTTTCTTCTTTCAGATCAACTCACAATGAAATGGAGAAGAATAGGTGAGTTGGGGATTTGGGGGTGGGATGGGGGTCTTTTTGATATGTCCTCTGATTTTGGAGACTTGGCTGTTTTTTCTTGGCTCTTCCCACAAGCAACACCTGATGTAAGACTTTTCCTCCAGTCGGTCCTCTGAGCAGCGCTGCCCCTAAATCACTTAGGCAGACGAAGGGCTTGCAGGTTCCAGAAACCACACCCCCACCCCTCACTCCTGCCACCTGCTTCTCCTAAGGAGCGCCTTCCTGGGTGACTGTTTCACAGGCCAAAGCGTTTTAGGTCATGAGCCATGTTTCCACAAATAGTGTTTTTAAAAAAATGACATGCTGCTGAATATAATCGGTAGTTCTGTCTTAAATCGTGTACACACCCAGATATATATAAATATACATACATATGTGTGTGTATTTACAGTTTACTTGTGAATAAAGATTCTCAAAATTCAGGCAAATATATGCATAGCACAAATTGGAGATGGTGATTCACTAGTGGAGGCCTGCCACCCTCCCTGGGATCCATCTGGCTGAGCCTGAGTTGATCTCTCTCACCTGGATTGCCTCTTGCTGTTTGTTTGAATCTTTATTTTTTAAATTTGGTTTGCCCCTCCTTCAACGATGTAGCCTAGTGGATCTTGACTCTGGTTGTACTTTGTTGCTTGCGAAGTTTTTATTTTAATGTTTTCTTAAAATATTTTTGTATTAAATTACATTTATACACGTGGGGAGAAGGAACAGATTTTATTTCTGCCAATTTTATAAAAGAACTTCTAGAAATCTTCAAATATATGAGAACAAATAATGTAATCGAGTTCTGTGTATCCATTACCCAGCTTCAACCATCATTATCATTTTGTCAATCTTAGATAATCAAAACTATCCCTCTCCATGGAGTATTTAAAAAAAAATCTTTTATCTCTAATAAAGACTTAAAAAAAGAAATAACCACTTTTACTATGCTGGGGTGGAGGGGGGGAGAATAATAGTCATTCCTTGCGGGGCTTTAAAAAGGAAAGAAAGAAACCAATGCTCAGACCTCACCCCTAGCAATTCTGCTTTAATTGGTCTGGGTTGAGACTCTGCTCTAGTATTTTTTTTAAAAGCTCCCAGGTGATTCTCATGTGCTGCCAGGGCTGAGAACCATTGAACAGGCTTCATTCTGGTCTCCGAGCGCCCATCAATTTGAAATACAGGCTACCCGTTCAGGCTGAGTGGCTTTCTCGGTGCTCTGCGTGAGCGAGATGATGATGGGTAGTGATGGTTCTGCAAATACATATGGTTATTTCATGCAAACCTTCTTTGAAGAGGGAGCCTGCCTCTGAAAGTCAGGATCTGAATGACCCGTTCCGCCGGGAAAGGGCAGACCCGACTTACTGGGAAGGAGAATGTTGGAACAGGGTGAACCCGTAGCGTGACTCCGCTAAGGAATTCTGTGTGTGCCTCACTGCACACGTGCTCCCATCCCTCTTCTTCCCTTTTAATTATTCTGTGATTGGGACTGTGTTTGAAGTCAGAGCTTCCTTTTTGCTTTAGGGATTTCCGGCTCTTGAATTGGGAACTCAAAAATATCTTTTAAGGTGGAAAGGTAGTCAGATGTGGCCTCTCTTTCTCATCTTTGGATTCTCAGCTTTCTGCCTTGGGGGTGAACTGAGTAAACTGGGACTCTTTCTGCTGAAAAGTCTTCTAGTTCTCCTCCCCCACTTTACTTAGGCATTTACTTTTTTATTATTCCATTAGACAGTCATTTTGTTATGAAAATTTTACCCCTTTGGGTAAGGGCTCTTGCACTTACCACTACTTTATGCTTTTTACCTATGCAAGAATGCCACACAATGTTATTTTTACTTTTTAGCCATTCAGCCATGTTTATTTTTTGCCTACAGTGTCTCTAGAACTTGTGCTCAGTACTAGGTATTAAATGAGTTCACACTGGGGGTATTAGATCAGCATGGTCCCCATCCGTGAGAAATGTAGTCTGTCTAATGGGAAAGACGGAGAGACCATTTCAGTGAACACACTATGTGCTCAGATTGAGGTATACATGAGAGGCTGTGGAGGCAAAGAATCTAGAAAACTAGATTTGGAGCCCCCACTGAGCAAGCTGCTTCTAATTCACACAGCTTCTGTGTGACTAGTCCACTTTTGCTCACTGAAGAGTTATCTAGTTTCCTTACTGTCCTTTTTTTTTTTTTTTTTTTTTGAATTCGGTCTTTTAAGGTCTTGATAATTCTTTCTCTAGTCCAGAGCATGTGAACAGAAAAGAAGGAAGTAAAGACTCAAATTTCTTAATTTAACCAAACATTGGTTGCTGCAGTCCAGGAGAGGAACTTAAAGTTGCTCCGCTTTTCTCCCCGTATGAGTGTAGATGCTTAAGAATCTTCTGTTTTGAAGTCAGCTGAGCATCCGCTGTGGTCGTCCTGGTTTTAGTAGTTGGTGCCCATAAGAGAATCCTGCTTTGCCAAGTGCGTGTGCACTTTAACCATTTTTTACTTTAAAACATCATATAAAAAGATTGACATGACTCTTAAAAAAGAAAGAAAGAAAAACCTTAGGAAAAGAGCTTTCAACAATGGGAATTTGTTTTCCTCTTTGATACTGCAGAGTTGATTATGCTTGGGTTAGATTTTTTTTTTTTTTAAAGATTTTATTTATTTATTTGATAGAGAGATCACAAGCAGGCAGAGAGAGAGGAGGAAGCAGGCTCCCTGCCGAGCAGAGAGCCCGATGCGGGGCTCGATCCCAGGACTCCGAGATCATGACCTGAGCCGAAGGCAGCGGCTTAACCCACTGAGCCACCCAGGCGCCCCTGCTTGGGTTAGATTTTTAAACAGAATCCTTTTTTGTGGCACTTTAGAGATTCTGAGTACTTGGACTTGGTCTTCGTCAGGACTCCACTATGAGGACAATATACTCAACATTACCACTTCACTATCCTTGGTGTAGGTAGGAAAATACCCCACCTCCACCATTCTAGAAGGCCTGTATTTTCCGTTCTCTAGATGAGGCATTCTGGAGGGCTGAAGATGCTGGGTCCTAGGTGCTGGGAATAGAGTCCGATGAAGCCCACGCTCCTGGGGTGGAGGGTTCAGTTTATCAGTTTAGATGGGAGTGGCTGTCACTCCCCCTGTGCTTCCTGGAACTGTGGCTAGGCCTTGTGGATCCAGCCTCCTCAGGAAACACTTTTGAGTGTATGGTTTTTCTTTTTAAAGATTTTTTTTAAAAATTTATTTAACAGAGAAAGAGGTCACAAGTAGAGAGGCAGGCAGAGAGAGAGAGGGGAAGCAGGCTCCCTGCTGAGGCAGGCGCCCATGGTTTTTCTTTTTAAAACTAATCTTACAGGGACACCTGGGAGGCTCATCGGTTAAGCATCTGCCTTCAGCTCAGGTCATGATCCTGGGGTCCTGAGATCGAGTCCCACCTAAGGCTCTCCACTCAGGGGCAAGTCTGCTTCTCTCTCTCCCTCTGTGATCTTTCTCGCATTTGCTCTCTCTCTTTCTCTCTCTCAAATAAATGTAATCTTTAAAAAATAATAATAATAATCTTACCGAAAATTTTGAGAACTATAGAAAGTCTTTCTAAGAACAATTTAAATCATCCATAATTCTAGCTGCCAGAAGACAGCAGTGGAACTTTGAAGTGTATCGCCACAGTTGCTTTTGGAAAATAACTTAAAAATATAGTTTAGGGGGAGCCTGGGTGGCTCAGATGGTTAAGCATCTGCCTTCAGCTCAGGTCATGATCCCAGGTCCTGGGATCGAGCCCCACGTCTGGCTCCCTGTGGGGAGCCTGCTTCACCCTCGGCCTCTGCCTCTCTCTCTCTCTCTCTCTCTCTCATGAATAAGTAAAATTGTTAAAAGTATGTATTTAGTTTAGGGTAGAAAATTGGGAAGTTCCAGAAAGCAGAAAAAATATAAAAATCACCTGCCCTAGGTCTTGCAATAGTAACAGCTGCTAATATTCCTACTAAGTTCTGTACCCATCTAGGTTTTGTGCATGCCTTTTTTTTTTTTAAATCAACATGGGATACCACAGCAAATAATATCTATCTTCTTTTCAAGCTACATTATGAATATTTTCCAGTCTCCTTCTCTAACATTACTTTTAGTAAATGCCTGTGTTCCCTCCTACAGATGGGTGGTAACTCATATAACCAGTCTCCTGCTGTAGGTTCTTTCCTGTATTTGGCTAATACACACAGTACTTCCTTAAACTATGTCGTAGGTAAACCTCTGTCCACCATAATTACATCCTTAAGGTAAATTTATAGTTGTGGAAATAATGATATACACATTGTTACGGTTTTCGATGTGACTGCTAGATTGCCCACCGGGCAGATTATCTGCTGTATTTTCCTTATACCTTCACAAGGTGATATTATAATTTAAGACCTTTATGAAGTTGATACGTATAAAGTAAAAACAGACAACTTGTTTCAATTTGCATTTCTTACATCACTAGCACAGTCAAATCATTTTCTTACCTCTTTGTATTTATGCTGCCTGTTAATAAACTTTGCCCAATTTTCTACTCGGGCATTCTTTTTCCCCTTTGAAAAGATTTTATATGTGAAGGATATATATGAATGAGATTGCCCCTTTGAGTATCATATTATTGTCCAGTTTATCATTTCCTTTAACAGAATCCATTTTCTCTCACTGTCTGAACTTGCTGCCTCTATTGTATACTAAATCCTTATTTGTGGCTGAGTCCGTTTCTAGACTGGTTCTTCTGTTCCACTGATCATCTGCTCTGCTCTTCCTCTGCCAGTGAATATTGTTTCAGTCATTGAGGTTTTACCATGCACTTCGAGATCTGGTAAAGCAAATCCCTACTCCCTTCTCCTTTTCTTTCTTTTTTTTTATTTTACCATGTTGTTAGCTATTTTCACTAGTTTATTTTTCCCTGTGAATTGTATGGTCAGTCCATCTCCCCAACATCCAAATCCTTTTGGGACTTTCAAAATCAAAATCTAATAATTTTAGTATAAATGAACCTTTTAAAAGTTCACG